CAAGGTTTAGTGGTGGATTTGGCAGTGCTTGGCTAATGGATGAATTCAAAGGAAGGTTTTTTTCCAACCTAAGTGTTTCTAAGATTCAGGTTTCAGTTTCCTTTTTCTTTCCTTTTTTTTTTTTTTTCTTTCTCCTTTTCTGTGTTGATCCAGAGTGTGACAGGTAACACAGAGGTCTAAGTTGCCACCCCTGCATAGCAGATGGGTGTAAGGTGATGTTGCATGGCTGGATTTAAACTTGCTGCAGCCTCACAGATTTTTGCCCAGAGGAAGCAATTTCTGGGATAAAACTCCACACCCAAGTCACAAAGTTCCTCGAGGTCCCACTCACAGCTCAGGTCTCTCCCTGCAGAGTGTGCATTGACACTTTGCTTTGGCAGAGCAGGTATTGAAAAGCTCTTTTTTTTTTTTTTTTTTTTTCATCTGTTGTATTTACCTGGGTGCCTGTGGGGCTTTTCAGGCAAAGGAAAGAAGAATTAAATAGACAAATATCAGAAATGCCATTGTTAGCTGCTGCTGCTGCTGGTTTAGGAAGTGGTTGATGGGGTTTGAGTGACCTGATCTGGTGGAAATTGTCCCTGCCCATGGTGGCAGGAACAGATGATATTTAAGGTCCCTTCCCACCCCCAAAATTCTATGATTTCTATTAATAAAAATAAATATAACAGCAATAAATATAGGAGAGCATCACTGTATGCTAGGCAGGGAGGAGGTTGAGCTGATAGCAGAGGAAGTTGGGCTGTCCTGGGATCCAAGGGGATTTCCCTGGAAAAAATAAATGGGAAAAATAAATGGAAACTGTAAAAATGTTTTGTGGAAAATCTCAGTTAAGGAAGTAAAAGAGAATCCATTAACATGTGGGATTCTGTAACACATCCACTGCAAAGCCTTCACAGCCCTGAGGACCCACAGTGTAAATAAAAGTCATTTTTTTCCCAGCTGTGGCCCTGAACTCTGTGTGTCAGGGCATGTATTTAATGCATAACATCGTTTAATGCATATCAGAAACCTCCTAATCCTTCTTGGGGAATCATAATGTTTAAGTATTCACTTGATGTAATCAAAGATGTTTAATTTTTTATCAGACTTCACATCCACTTTACTTCTCAGTCTTGGTTTTTCTTCCTTGGCTCAGTAGTACAGATGCAGTTTTGCTTTGCTTTCTGCTGCTGTTTTTAAATTGTTCTTCTTGTCTGCTTGAACTGCTGCATCCTCCATGAATAGTTACAACATCTCAGCTTGATGTGTTGAAGCTTGAAATTGGAGTAGTTAAAACAGCCTTCTTGTTACTATTTTCTTTTCTTTTGCAAAATAAAAACAAAATAAAAGCCGGAACTGGCAGCATGCTGTGACATGAAATAAAAGTCTAGGGGCGGGAAACTGAAAGCCAGATACAGTCCAATTTTCTCAGAAAAAACATTCTCCATGAATTGCATTTTGAAAGTAATTGTTTGGAAATTTTGGACAAAGGTTTCATTTGCCTTGCTGGTTTTTTGTTTGTTTGCCTTTTTTTGTTTGTTTTTTTTTTTTTGTTTTGTTTTGTTGGGGTTTTTTTTGTTTTTGTTTTCTTTGGGGGGGGTGGTTTTTTGGGGTTTTTTGTTTGTTTGTTTTGTGTTTTGTTTTGTGGTTTTTTGTAGTTGTTTTGTTTGTTTGTTTGTTTGGGGTTTTTTTGGGTTTGTTTTGCTTTTAGATTTAATTTGCATTGTTTTTAGATGTGAGGGTGATTG